TATATAGCTATAGTAGCTAAAAAGTTAGAGCGGGTGGACTGTAGATAAAAACTGTGCGTCAGGTGAGACCGTGCGTTAGCTGATTAATCACGGTAAAGCCTGGTCAATCTTCTACGATTTTGAAGAGCTAAAAAGCATCCTGCGATCACGGAAAACAAACCACTTTCCCCTCTTACGCGGAAAAGGGCACCCACTCTCCTTCCCAGTTTCTTTTTGCGTCCACCCACACAACTCGATCAACAAGGCACGTATGCTCATTCAATGCCTTATGTCAAGAGTTGAGCAGCCGCTTCCCTGTTTCAATTTTGACTACTCTAGATCTTCTAAGCTTATACCCGTTTTACCTCAAGACAAATGCTTGGTCAAACTTTGCAAAAAATAATTTTGCGTCTCATGGCCACAGCGTTCTCTAGGTTCACAGTTGTACCTGCTGTACAACTTGTCTCTGTATCACCTTTTCATCTGCGAGTCCTACTAACTTATTATCCAATACCGTGCTAGGCATAGGCGGAAGTTGACGCTTCGTGGTTTTATCTCAGCAAGCTCAGACGGGATGGGGAGAGCGCCTCGACAGGGGCAAGCCCCTGCTAGTAGCCTTAGTGGCACAAGCCCCATCTCTCCAGCTAATAAGGGTGTAAGAAAGGCTTTCTCTCCCTGGCTGTCTAAGGGACTTTTGTAATTTTTTAGGTAACATTGTGGTTCTAAACCTTCTCTACTATGCACTAGCTTAACTAAGAATTATTGTAGCTCTACTACTATACATCTAAACTACCTTAGATTTTAATAGGTATTAGAGAAAGCCTCTAGCTATATTTTATTATTTTTATAACTTGTTTCTAATAAGATTTAGTAAAGTACTGCGTTACTAAGTCCTACATAGAGCATTCTAATTACTCTATAACTGCACCTTAATGTAACTTTTTAACTACATAATATATTATTATTAGAATTTAAGGCCTATCTAAGACAAGCTTATTTTTATACTATACTAAATTCTAGATAATTTTGTTGTGTTGTTATTAAGCTCTAGCTATAGAAGTAATTAGCTTAATTACTTACTTTGCTCTAACTTAACTAGCTGTTGTCTAAGAACTCTAAAGATCTAGAAGCTGTCTTAGACTAGCTCTGTTAGGAAGTCTGCAAAATTATAGAAGATCTAGTGTACTAGTTGTTAAGCTGTAGTCGAGTAGATAGTAGTCTAGAGACGTTGCAATTGCCCTTATGTCTGCAGCTTAACTAGCTGTTGCCTAAGAACTCTAAGAATCTAGAAGCTGTTATTAACTAGCTCTGTTAGGGAGCCTGCAAAATTCTAGGAGATTTAGTATACTAGTTGTTAAGCTGTAGTCTAGTAGATAGTAGGCTAGAGACGTTGCAATTGCCTTTATGTCTACAGCTTACCTAGCTGTTGTCTAAGGACTCTAAGGATCTAGAAGCTGTCTTAGACTAGCTTTGTTAGAGAGCCTGTAAAATTCTAGGAGATTTAGTCTACTAGTAGTTAAGTTCTAGTTAGGAGGGCAATACTGTCTATCTAAAATTAGAGTATAGACAGGTTAAAATTCCCTACGCGTTTAGACTTTCTTTTACTAATAATAGTTAAAATTTAGTAAAAGAATATACTATTTTATAGCTGCGCTTTATTTCTACCTTCTATTAAATTCTTAGCCTATTTAGACATATAGTAGTAGAGATATTATAAATCTAATTTTATTATAATAATCTTAAAATAGGCCTGTTTGTTCATAGAGAAAATTATAAAAGTCTCTTAGATAGCTAAGGAGAGAAACACTACTAACAGGGGTTAGAAACTGCTAACCTCTAGGCTATACTCTATAAGAGTAGCATTATGCATAGTGGTTTGTGCGTCCTTAGTTCTCGCCTCACCCTGTCTAAGCTAGCTGAGATAATCGTGGTTATCTATCTAGGGTTGTCAGATTGAAGCACTGTTTCTAGGCTTCCTAAGATGAATGATGGGTTTGGATATGATGTATGGGATGATTATTGATTGTATTTGATTTATCGATCCCTTTTCTGCTCTACTCGTGTTGCTCGGCTTTTGTTTTTCCGATCCGAGTCCCTCGCGCACTTGCCCTATGCGCGACCAGCTTGCAACATGCAGCAATTTGCAGCAACATACTGTTCGAGCTTATTGCTCGTACTATGTAGCAGCTTTCGTCAAGCGTTCCTCCTGTCTTAACAGTAGGTGCGCATATCTAACAAGAAAATAAATAGGACTATATAAAGTTTTATAAACACTATAAGAAAATTATAAACTTAAATTACTAAAGAATATATAAATACACTTATAGTTCTATATTTTAAAGCTTAAAAAGGCATTAAATAAAATACCTCTTTTAAAGGTTAGATAGTAGAATATAGAAGTAGAATATAAAGTTAAACGCATACTTAACGCTAGAAATAAAAAAGAGTTTTTAGTAAAATAAAAAAAGTACCTTACTAGTAAAAGCACATAGGAACTAATTAAGAACTTAGTAAATGCTCTATAGCTTTTTAAGATTATTAGGCATCCCTTCTAACTAGAACTAGCCTAGAGAAAGTTCTCTAGACTAGAAAACACTATTATTAGCTAAAGCTACTGCAGCAGCATTAGATAGCTGCAATGTAGAAAGTCTACAACCCTTTAATATAGGTTAGAGAGGAGAAAGGCTAGCAGCCTTAGCCTTAAGCGCTTTAACTTTATCTAGAGATAAGAGGTTTTTTTTTTATAGATATTTTGCCCTTTAATCTTTAAAAAGGTTAAGCTGTCTTTAGTAGTAAATTTTAGAAGCATAGACTACTTATAAACTTTTTAAACTTTTAGCATAATGCTTTACCTCTTTTATTTCCTTCTTTTCTACTTTTTTTAGATTACGCTTTTTTTCTTACTTTTATTAAGCCTAAGCTGCTTTTATTTTTTATAGAAGTTTTTTTTTTCTTTCTCTAAATAATCCTACGCAGCATTAGAGATAAAAGCATTACACTAACTTCCCTTTTACACACACTCTACACACGTGTTAGATAATAAGGTTAAAATATAAGAGAAACTACTTAAGTAATAGGGACTACATAGCTGCATTTTTGTTCAACAAAGGGGATTAAGGCAGGTAATAGCGCGTAATTGTTACTTAGAACTAGAGGAATAAGAAGACTAGTAAGGCATAGTTAAGAAAAATACATGCATAGAAAGTGTATAAAAGAGGACACTTACTAAATAAAAGAAAATTTTAACACTTGCAATAGTATAAGCAGAACAGCAAGGACGCTAATAGAGAGAGGAGCCTGCGTGTTATAATCTATAATTAGACTATATGCAACTAGTTAGCTGTGCCCTACTGTTTAAATAATTAAGAATAGAAAGTTATTAATTTCCTGCCTCGTAAGTTATGTAACTTAATAGATAAAAAATAGACTAAGCTCTTAGACTAATGCGCAGCAGAGTGCGTTGTCTAATAAGCCCTAAACATTGCATGTAATAAATGCAGTAAATGCAGCGCGTGCTAAAAAACATATTGCATGCAATGCATGCAGCGCACGCAATGTATGCAACTCTATGTATATAGTTTAAGATCTTAACTTTACTTAAAAGCTGTAATTAATATTACGTTTATTTTTTATATAGACTAAGCAGCTGTCGCGTATACTAAGAGCCTTGACTGGGGCTCAGAGCCTGGGACGCAGCTCGGGATCTGGAGATATTATGTTCCGAAGCTCGGTGTATATAAGGAGAGCCTTCAGCTCTCTTAGATAGGAGAGTCACTTCATCCGATCTTCTAAACAGCTACTGCTAGGCTATTTTATCCTCCACAGTAGCATTACTACTTTTTAATAAAAAGGAATTTAATTATGTATTTTGCACTATATATACCTCCTCTCTTGTTCTCTCTAAGAACTGTTTAACCTAAGCGCCTTATACTGCTGTTGTAGGGCAAACTACAGTTAGCTGCACCTCCTTCCCCAGCAACTCTGCCCCGACGGACTGTACACCCGCCTTAGGCTAAGTTCCCTCTCCCCCCGCACCCCTAATCTCCCTTTAGGCCCTCGAGTGCTTCGGACAAGATTTCTCTAAAGGAAAGAGTGTAACACTTATCTAATTCTTTAATAGCTTTTAAAGTAAAGAAGGCTTTATTTAAAATTACATAGCTTTTTTTAAGTAGTATAGCTTTTACTTTTTTATACTACACTTACTTAAGCTTTTTAAAAATCTTTTAGTGTATAGTTTTACTAAGTATTTTTAGCTTTTTAGTAACTACTAACTTAAAGTCTCCATAGTTTACTGCTTTTTATAGATAAAAAAATTATTCTAAAGCTTTATATAAGCATAAGTAGCTTAATTAGGCTAAAATAAATTAGGCTAAATTATTATTTAATTATCTACTAAGTATTATAAATATACTTATTTCTTAGTTACTTATATGTAAAAAGTGCTTTTAAAGCATTAACGTACCTAACAGGTTGGCCAGCCACTTTTGCCAAGCCCCTACTACACTCTACCTATCTACATAATGCCTTAACAATAACACTAGATTAAATCTTCTAAAGAACGTTAGATACAGCTTACTTTTTAAGCTTTTAAATAAGACTTAAAACTTTTTTTATAACATGCTACAGCTATTTATAATATCTCTTACACAATGTCACAGTATCCTCCCTAGATTCTAGACATAACTGTATTAGACGCGTACTAGAGTATTATTAGTGCACGTCTAACATAAACACAACACAACATAGACATAAACTTAAGCATAAACTGCTTTAATACTAACTAAACTTAGAACAGGCTTAATTTATACTTAAAGCGCTTAGACTTTTAAGCTAAGTATTTAATTACTAATTTTCTTCTAAACTTTTTTATTTCTTACATAATGTCTTATACCTACTATAATACTTTATGTAATAATTAAACTAGACCTCTGTAAAGCTTTATAACCTTACTTATGCATAATTATAATATTATGTTATGTTAAAACTTTAGCTAAGAATAGCCTTTAAATCTAATTTAATAAGCTTAGTACTTGCATAACTTTAAGCTATTAAAGTAAGCTAAAAAGCTTTTTAAAAAGTACTTACTTTATAAGAAAGCTACTACATTATAAGCTTTAAAGCTTTTTAAAAGAACTTTAAAAAACAGCTTTATATTATTAAGTAGTCTATTTCTACTTTAATTTTTATTATAGTAGTAGAAACTAAAAACTTACTAGCCTTAAAGCTTACTTAAAAGTCTAAAAATAGCTTAACTTTTTTCTACCTAATACTACCTACAACTTATAACCTTTTTAACTTAGTAATAAAATTTAACTAACTCTCTAATCTTTTACTATTTAATAAAAAACAAAAAGACCTACCTTTTTTCTTACATAAGCTTTAATATAAACTTAAAAAAAACATAGACTAATTTTCTTTTAAACACTTCTAGTTACTATATGCCTACTTTTAACTTAACTATAATGTAACAGCCTTAATTAACTTACTAATAAATAAAGATATTATTAACTTAGATTAATTTATAGTATTTTTATAAGTAACTTATAAAAACTTAAATAAAAAGTTAACAGCCCTAAGTTACCTAAACACTTTATAATAAAAAAAAAAAGCTTTACTTTACACTTTACTAAGTTTTA